TTTGGGTGACTGTTTGCCCCAGAGGGAGACTAGGCATCGTCCAACAAGGCCCAGTCATCCCTAGCCCCCATTTACTGATTCCCCCCTACCCCAGGGGATCAGCTATACAACATTTTACACACAAATATTCACTTTACAGCATACTCTGCGAAGCGCTTTGAGACGTCTAGAAGACGTGAAAAGCGCTATATCAAATGCAAGAATTATTAGTATTACTATTATTATCTAATCTGTGCTTGAAAGAATCAACACTTCCTTCTTCAACCATCTCCCTAGGAACCTGTTCCACAGGTTCACCATTCACTCACTGAAATAGTGTTTGGGTAGATTTGTTCTGAATTTAGCTCCCTTCAATCGCAGGCCGTGTCCTCTAGTTTTATTATTCTGGACAAGTTGAAACAGCCCATCATGACCTATATTGTCTCGCCCCTTTAGAATCTTAAAGACAGCAATCATGAATCAGTAATCATGCTGTGCACAATCCACAAATACAGTCAACCCACTTTGCAATATATTCTGTGGAGTGCTTTGAGACATTTCAACAACGTGATAAGGCGCTAGATCAAATGCAAGGATTATTATTATAATTAAATCTCATCATTATTATCTTTAATTCCATTCTGAATCAATACAGTAGTTAGCTATGATTTTAAAAACAGCATTAGACTATGCCACGATCTTTATCATCATTGCCAGAGTAACCGTTTCAGAATCAGGTCAACAAACTAAGCTATCAGTCAGATAAGCATCTCAATAACATTTGCAAACCCTGTTTACTTTTCCTTAACACAGAGAGACTCTGCTAAAGAGAATGCATTCTGCTGACACAATACCTACCTTCACCTCAAAATTATATTGAGAGTTCACAAACGTACAGTATGTGTGAACCTTCCTTGATTATATTCGCTAGCAAGTTACTTTTTTATATAAAGTTTAACATTTACCCCAGATTTTAATATGGAAAGATTACCACCATTGTAGTCACTCCTAGCCACTTTCATCTCCCACTAATTTGTGAAGATATGAGTCACTATCTGTACCCGATGCAGCTTTGCTTGCAACCAAAAGATCCAATATGGAATCTAGATTGATAAACACAGACTTTATCTACACTGAGCTAGGAGGAATCCTGTGGAAGGACTCCTCTCCCCTTCATTACCAACTGAAAGAAAAAAAGAAGTAACCACTGGATTAGCTGTAGACTGTTGAAATCAACCTTATTCTCCAGCTCAGCAGTTGAGGAGGTCCTGAAATACTACATTAATTCCAAACATTTCACAGCGCTGTAACACTAAGACCCCAATTTCAGGTTGGAGCTGATCACTGAGGTGCAAAACAGCTAATGCTGGATTGGAAAGTCAGATCCTATACGTATGTAACACACAGGTTTTTTTTTCCCCCCCCCACATCCTACAAGAATGGTGTAAACACTCGAATAGTGCCCACGATTATTCTCTCGCCTGGAATATCTGACAGAATGGAAAACGAGAAGGGAATTGGCATGAGGATAGATATTACACTGGAGTAGCAAATAGCAACACAATGGATCAAATGGTCCTCGACTTGTCAATTTCTATGCCAAGGTTAATCTTTTATAGCATTTTATTTTAAATTACAAGTACACAATTCCTTCTACAGCTGAAGGTGAACAGGAAGCTCAAATATTGTCAACCTTCAGTCTAACAGGTTAGACCAGATAGTTCATTTCATGTGAAAGCCCTAGCTCTCCCACCATGACCTTGACTGCAGATTTCAATCAGTATGTCTGAACAAATTCTCAGACTAAAAGTCACATGAGAAGTTTAAACTACCACACTGAATTTTCAGAGTTACACCACTGAGAAAGTCTTGTAAAATTCTGCACTTATCAGAAGAAGGAATTATCCTTTCTCTGGGTGCAGGGTGGGGGTGAGAGGGGGGGAAGGGTAAGCAGAGTCTTCTTGAAGCTGCTGGCTCCAAAGTGACACGTTTGGCAATGGATTCTACAACCAAGCTAGCCCTCTGTGGGGGTCTTGGTGGTCTCTTTCCCGAGCCAGGCAGGTCTGCAGTATTCTAGGGCACTGCTGATGACAGCGCAGCAGCCTGTGCCTGGCTCATCGTCAGGACTTGGAAGGTAGACCAGTAGTTGGGGGTTGGGAATCATCCCACTCAGCTCCTATTAACCCTGCAAGCCAAAGCACCAATGGGTACAGTGGTCCTTGCTGGACAAGCAGTGGGAAAGCTTGCCAGACAGTGATATATATCAATAGCAAGCTATGTGGTTTTTACTTGGTTTAGACTCCAGCAATTACTCCAAAGCAGACTCTGGAGTCCCCAAGCCTCGACTCTTGCCAACCTGCACCTAATACTTTACAGAATTAAGTAAGTAGGATGTGTCCCTCCAGAGAGAGTGCATCCCATTCCAACAATCCATCTCTGGGATTGCACATGTAGATGGGATGTATGAAATTCTCAGTTTGGTTTGGATAGTCTTAAGTTCCGGTGATGGGTTTCTGTATGCGTCAGACACTCAGCTGACGAAAACCAAAAACAGAAGGAAATGTCACAATATATTTTGTCTTAGTTTTACGTAGAGGGCGAGTTATGAAATTCCCAGAATTTGACAAAACAAGGTGCTTCTCAGAACACAATTGTTTGAAGTGAACTTTACATTTGCTTTAAACCATTTCAAAGTTTGCAATTTGGTGTTAACCCAAAACAAAAAGTTACCGGAATCTAGGAACATAGGAACAGGAGTTGGCCATTCAGCCCTCGAGCTTGTTCCAGCATTCCAGCAGATCGTGGCTGATCTATACTTCAACTCCAAAATTAATAACAATCTATAAATTAATCTAATTGATAAGTCATGGCTACCCTCAGAGCAAAGTTTCATTTATTAAGTTTGGTTTCGAGGGGGACAGCATTGATTTCATATTCAACAAACGCCCCGGAGCGCAATACTAATACAAAACTGCAATTGAAAGATGTTTTGCAATAAATGCGGATCTGTGCAGCCAATATAAAATCCAGATCACTTTAAATAATGCAAGAATAATGCGTAAAACTATTTCCTGTTGTTTGTTAAAACCTCACACCCATAGAACACTTAATCACTCTCAGGGAAAACCACAGGATTGGTGTGTGTGCGTGTATGTGGGGGTGAGAGGCAAGATGAAACCTAATGAAATGATTGCGATGATTATTTTTTAACATGAGGCTGATGGATGAACTTATTCACCTGCTGACGTGATGTGATGGGAGCAGTTTACAGCTCCAATTTCGATGCAGAAAAAGGGAGCGAAGGGGGTGGGGGGAGGGTGAGAGAGCGGGGGGGGGAGAGGGTGAGAGAGCGGGGGGAGGAGGGTGAGAGAGGGGGGGGGGGAGGGAGGGTGAGAGAGGGGGGGGAGGGAGGGTGAGAGAGTGGGGGGGGGAAGGGAGGGTGAGAGAGTGGGGGGGGGGGGAGGGTGAGAGAGTGGGGGGGGGAGGGTGAGAGAGTGGGGGGAGGGTGAGAGTGGGGGGAGGGTGAGAGAGTGGGGGGAGGTGAGAGAGTGGGGGGGGAGGGGGGAGTGACAGAGTGGGGGGGGGGGGGGAGT